ATATATATATATATATATATATATATATATATAAACCAAACAAAAACAAATATATACTCAAACACGTTCCTCTCTTTATGCGCTTTTTTTTTTCTTGCATTCATGCTCCTATCTTCGAAATGTTTATTTCAATCAGTCGACTGAGGAAGTCCTTTTTTGTTTTTGTTTTTTCGTGAAATTCCCTCACAAAAAGAAACATTTTTGTTTTTAATGAGTTTTTTCTCAAATTGACGTTCAGCATATACGAAGACTGGTAGATCGATGTTGATATCGATATGCAATTTTAGGAATTGCAAAAAATGAATAATTTTCCCATAATGTAGATGTATTCAAGATAAACACTTTATCATTAGTTTTCTAAGATATTAGGATATACAATATAAATTCGTCTTAAAAACTCAGTAAACTTACATCGACCAACAACTCGTTCTCGAAACTTTCACTTGAAACGTCAACTAGTAATAAGCTAAAGTTTACAGATAGTTTATCTTTAGTTAGGCTGATACTGCACCAATAAGACTAAGTAACACGCGCAAAATTATCTACCGTCAGATGTAGCACGCTGTATTCTTCTGATGCTCGATATGACTGTGCAAGATATTGAATGTAATTTTGGTCTAATACTCAACGTGAATGCAAGAGTTACTGATGTGGTATGTGATTTTGGTTTAATATCGACGTGAATGCAAGAGTCAATGGGCGTGATATGTGATTTTGGTCTAATGTTCGATGTGAATGTAAGATTATTGGGTGTGATTTCGGTCTGATTTTCGGTGTGAATGTAAGATTATTGGGTGTGATTTCGGTCTGATTTTCGGTGTGAATGTATGAGGCCCTCCTTAATATTTCGCGCTTACCATATACGCAAACAAAGAACACTGAAATAATTATTGTATTACACACTTTTTAATCCACAGTTCATAGTCTATAATGGATATATATATATCTATATACACACACACACACACACAAACATACATATATATCTATAGGAATAAGTATATTCTGCGTTAGTTGTAAGACTCAGATTTCTATAACATATAACTTTTTTTTTCTAGTCAGTTAAAGTATCATTTTTCTTATGTTTTCATTAAGATTTGAATAATGTACAATGGACTTCTCTAGGGTATTTTGTTTAATAAGCTATGCTACAGGACCCACCAAATAACATTCCGTAAAGCATTAGCCCACGACTTTCGAGCGACAAACTGTACTTGTTATTTCAGGCTTCGTTGTTTTGGAAACAACCAATAAATATTAGACAAGAACACCCTCTCAAGAAGAACTGGTGAAATTTGTAATACATTTTTGTTTGAACCAAAATTACACCACATTATTTCTCGAGAAATAAAAACAAATTCACGCGCATCCAGTGAGAAGGGATAAATGCCCCTTAAAAGTCTTCCATTGATTCAGCGACACAACGAGAAGAAAAAAAGCAGAAAACTAGATTTACAGTATATTTCAGACTAAATGACAATTTGGTGAGCTATGAGAGCTAAGTTATGTAAAACTTCAAGTTGTTTTACTTACTTGGACTTTCTGTCCCATTCATCCTTTTTGACCGTTCCTATGCACCACATAGTTCTGGTTTGTCAAAATGACCACCAGCAAAGAACTGTGGCTAGTCAACTGTCCTGTATAGTGATCAGTATCAACTAATACTACAAAGTACACAGCACATACAAACCACCTGTGTGTTTTACATCGATATAGCCGTTATTGTAAGAATTATGAAATCACGTGACCATATAATGCAATATCAGTGACGGTGCATCTTCTAATACGTTTTAATCTTGTTAAGTCAGCATGTTGGCACACAATGATCAGGATGAAAATTACCTATCCCAGTCTGTTGATGTTAGTACCCGGAGGCTGGGAGATTTTAACACAACATCATCCTCACGAAGTCCGAGATGTATATCAAACAATACACACACACTTCTTTCATAAGACGGACTACTACAGATGTAAAGACAAGCATGAATTTTCCAGTCGGAAGTTCTTGAAAGCTATCTCACCGAGCAACATCAACATCCCACCAAACTCCAATATTTCAAATGGAAAGAATATGTATAACTATTCCAGTAATGTTGCACAAACTTTCAAATCGATCCAAAGTGGCAAGCACCAGTATTCCAAACCAAAGACTGGTTACTCCATCGCTCTTTAATCAAAGCCAGAATGTAAATACATATATATATATATCATTGTTAAAAATTAAAGTTTATACTAAACGGTCGTTGCACAACACACAAAAGGATGACTAACCATGGACAGTCAACTGTAAGACGACAGCGCCTTAAAAGTTGTGCCTATCTTATAGTCAATACTACAATAAATAAACCAACGTGTTTCAGTTGGAAGCTTGAGCACTCGTTGCACAAAAATAAAAGGAGTCGCTAGCCCGAGCTTCCTTCCATTGTTTCTGTCCCACGTGATCACGTGCAGCCCTCCCACTCACGCTTCGTGCACTGGCAACGTACGATCTGGATCAAAAGGCGGCACAAACTCCATTAACCATCACTACAGGAGCCACCATTACTTATGAGAACTACTCCACGAACGTGGGACTTTCTTAATATCGTAGTAACCTTGAAAACAGGATGTTCTCTCAAACATCTAGCTTACTGACATAACTAAATATTTGTGTTTCTGCGGGTGAATTTAAGTTAATGACCGCGGTATCATATTTAAGATAATTCTGAATAAGGAAATTCTAGTATAAACTACTTATTAGTATAAAATAGCATCGTGAGAAATGGTACTCAGCTTTTTTAAATAGCTAACATTATACTTTATTAGAACGTGTAAAATCCCCGAATGAAACAGCAATCAACGACCATTTACAGGAAGTTTCATACATTATGGCACTAACACGTTTTGTGAAATTTTAATGGACATTATTTTTCCTTAAAGTTAGTAAAATACTAGTTTTTTATATATATCTACGTTAGCTGTTAGGTTGGTAAATGTTTAAATAAAATGTAAAGGTTTTTTCTTATAATTTTCCATCTCTAATTATGAGTTGCGGTCTTACTAATGAGTTGAAACATGACGTAATTTAATAGTTATGAAAAATGTCAAAACCTGCATTAAATATTAATTAATACGTATAATGCCCTGTAGCCTTTCGCCAAAAATAGCGGAACCTACCAAACTCGTCTTCCCAAGATAATCTAAGGAGGATTTTCTCTTTCCGCTACTAAAATGATCTTTCACTTTTTTCTCCCTTTTAAGGCTTAAAAATATCATGACTAAATAAATACTAAAATAATGATCGTAGTCCGTGAGTATTAAATAATATTACGCCCTCAGAGCTGACCTAAAAAAAACTTTCTATTACAAATCACTTTTAAGTAGATGTTGTATCGTAAATGAGGTGATTATAGCATTTGTTTCGCGGCTGTCTGAAACACGACTAACTACTGTTTTTACACGAACCATACCTTCTAGTACAAATGTCAAGGTTTGATGCCTCACCGGATATGCTCCACACGTGCCATCACCGGAAATTGGCCTGCCCTTGACACCACGTCTGTCGTTAAACAGCGAGACAGAGATGTAGTTAATTGTGGGAAAAGTTGTGTTTTTATAAAATAAAATAAAAATTAAATGAGAAAAGTGAAAACTTCTAGGTGAGGCACTCTAGTGATAGAAATTGTAATGATGTTTTTGTTTTTTTTCAAAACGAACATGAGCTGTTATTTGCTATGGGTGGACGGACAACTGGACAGTGATTAAGGACAAAGCACTCGAGATTTTGGGTTGTTTCTTATAATTATTTAGTAATTTACCCATGATGTAATCTTATTTAAACAATACTACAGGCACCATAAGTATGACAAAATGAGCTATCTGCGTTCTGTCAACCACAGGTAACCGAACCCCAGATTTTAGCGTTGTAAATCCGAAAAATGACCGCTGACCCACTGAGGGACATTGAGAGAATTTCAAGTGTAAAGCTATACTATATTCGTGCGAGGTGGATATTAGATCGTTTCTCTAAAGAAAATGCAGTTAAGATCATTCTGCATTTTCCTATATTTTCACGTATGTTTGAATACATTTCTATTTTGTCCCTAGATTTTGAAATCAATATTGATATAATTCTGCACATCCATTATTGCTGCTGCAGTTGCGGGCAAAGTTAACATGTTACTGCTCTATTTCATCTTGTATGGATGTGTTCTCTTTTAGGGTTTGGTTTGTTTGTTTGTTTT